TCAAGCACTCTCTTCCTCTCCCTTACATATGCAAACTACCCACCCCAGGGCGGGTGCAGCTCTCACACCCTTAATCAAACTCTAAAAGCCTGACCTGTGGCTGCATGAGGCTTTGGGGGGACAGACAGACATAAACCATAACATTCCACCCCTGGCCCCCCAAAGACTCATGCCCATTCCTTTATACAAACAGCATTTAGTCCATCTGCAAGAGTTGCCAAAGTCCTAACAGTTTCAGCATTGCTGAAAAGTCCAAGTCCCAAGGCTCCCCCAAAATGTAAGGCAAACTCTCAGCTGTGAGCCCCTGTACAAATGAAAAGCTAAACACTTCCAACATTTAATGGCACAAAATAAGCAGTACCATTCCAAAAGGTACACACAGGGGGACACAGAGCATTGGGACCAAAGCAAGTCCAAAATCCAGCAGGGCTAACGTTATGTCCTGTAGTTCCACCAGCTTCTGAAGCAATCTGTGGCACATTGTAAGCACCAAAGGGCTTGCATGAGTCCACCCCTGTGGCACTTCTGGTGGTTACAGCTTCTATGGCTTCTCTCTTAGGCCTGCTTTGCTCCCTCCTTGCAGCTTTCCTTAGATGATCCACGGTCCTGGCTTTTCTAAACTTCTGAGGTCTCCAGGGCACCTTTTGCTTCACACTCACAGCCTCACACACTGCCCTCTCAGGGGCACACTGCCTGGCCTCCCAGGCTTTCTGAAATCTGGGTGGAAGCCTCTTTAACTTCAGAACTCCTGCATTCTCCATGCACCTAAAGCCAGGGCCATGGGGATGATGCTAAGGTCTGCTGCCACCTGGAGCAGTAGCCAAGCTTTCCTCTCTCTTGGCCACAGGGGTCGAGTGCCTGGATTGCTGGGCACTCTGAATTCTATTCTGAGGAACAGATCCTCTATGCTGCCACCATTCTGGAACCTGGGGTGGCCGCCACTGCTATTCTGGAACATGGCACTCAGCAGCTTTTTTCTCAAAGCAAGGTCTTTCACCTTTGCAGTTTTAAGGCTGCAAAGGGTGGAGACTTGCTGCTTGTGATGCCCTCAGGCCATCTTTTCCATTCTCTTGTTCCTTCTCAGCAATAGAGATCTCCTCAGCCTTATCTTTGCAGTCCACAGCATTACTGGAGCTTCCTTTCTAGCCAAACTCACAACATTTTAAATCATCCTGCTGGGCTCTTTGTTCTTGATTCTCAATATAAATCTGGCTAAAAGCCCCC